CAGAGAGCTATAAAAATCTTTAATTTATTCGAAAAAATAGGTGCGGATAAAGTTCAATATATTAAAACTTATAGTGCGAATTCTATCTCAAAATTTACTAATGAAGAACTTCAAAAGGTTATTGACTATTTCTCTAGCAATCATGACAATTCTTCCACAGAAATTTTGACAATCTCGGGTCTTTCAAATCATGTGACTGAAATTCCTGAATCTAGTTCGGAAAGTATACCTACTGAATTTCAAGTTTCTAATTCATCAAGCTCTAAACCATCTCAAGAAAATGATCAAGATGAGTCAAAGACTCAAAGCTTTGCTTCCTTGGAATTACCAGAAGCTGAGGTAAATGCATCTACTAAAGAAACAAAGTCTCAAGTCTCTGACTCATCTATTTCCGCTAATTCAGAAACCAAGATAAGTATGCTACCTATATCCCAGGTAAATATATCTAACAAATTCCTTTCTTTTTACCTGATGATCCTGAAAAAAAGCGAACTCATGTTATCAAAATGGTATTGGAGCAATTCTCTTGTTTAACTTTGAAATATAGTAACAAATATGATGACTATTTTGATTGTCCAAAAGCCTGTCTCGTATCTAATAAAGAGCATAAAAGAGATAATGTAAAAGATAAGTGGGGGAGTGGTGATTATGTCAATACGAAAACTTATCGTCTTACATGTTGGGAGAATAAATATCAGAATTCAATCCAAATAGTAACTGTAAAAGCATAGATTAATAAGAAAACTAGATATGGCTCTGTTATCTCCACTAATTAATAATTGCAAATCACATTACAAGAATCACGTTAAAATAAAAAATGGCAAGCCCATAGAACCCCTTTTTATTTCGTAAAAAAATTGCTGAAACGGTATACAAATAAAAAAAAATATCTTCAAAGAAGGCACGGCTAAAAAAAATTTAACCAGCATGTTCATTGAGAACATCTTTTTCATATTTCAATCAAAATTTAAACTCTCTTAGTACCCATATATCACACCCTTTATTTCTAATAATGTTATCGAGTCCAAATGATTCTTCACCAAATTTGAAATATAACCCATCTTTTTTTTGAAATGTACTATAATTTATAAAATAGTACAAATAGAATATAGATGTAAGAAAAACAAAATTATATAATGCAAGCCTATAAAAAATGAAGTAACTTACAAAGAAAGCTTATCATCACCAAGCTCTTGTGATTTTTCAGAACCATCCCCAAACAGTTTGATATTTTTTCTATCTACCCAAGAATTTGGGCTAACTACAAAAATTAATGATATATATATTTAATTATATTTTATTAACAAAGTTGGTAAGAGAATTAATTTATTCACCAACTTCAACTGAGATTTCTCCCATCATTGCGACTGGCATTTTGTGACTTCTAAATATAAAAGTTATAATTAGTTTTTCTTTCCAGAATCCAACCCAACATAATAACTAATACCTTAAAAATAAATTACGTGCAAGTAAAAAGTATATATATGAGCAAAAAATAACGTTATTGCTAACTTATCTTATGGGTGGGAACTTGCTTATTTTTATACTTCATATTCGTTAAATCTAGAGAACCTGCCAGAAGAAAAATCACAAGCTTAGTAATTACATTACTCTAACACAATGTCAGATCACACCATGTAAAGCAAGTCTATTCGGTCATAACTTCCAAATGCTGAATCTATTTTGTTATTTTTTTCTGGTAAAATTAACCCCCCTTAGATTCGATCTCTCCTGTGAAGTAAAAAAGTCAGCGATCTCGACGATCTGGGAATGCCAAGTTCCTGCGACATATGAATTTTGATAAAAATATTAATAAAAAATATTATACTCATTACCTTTATAGCCCTTTTAAACCCCATTCACGCCTTTTCTTATCATGGAATCATATATTGTATAATAAGAAAATGGTCTTTCTACTCATAAATATTTATTAGCGTTAGGGCAAAATCGACGTGGGAAAGTAATTCTGCAGTAAGGTAACACTGCATAAATTTAATGTATGCAGTTAAGTAATGTAACTTTACATAGCATTCTGATACATGATTATTTACCAGCACTATGAAAGTTTGGCCAGCATTATTTACATAAAAATTACGTAAAATTTCTAATTTGCATGTATCATAGCCACAAAAGTGGTATATGTACTGCATATTTCTAAATCGCTCTAATTTATCTTTTCAAAATCAACACAAAAGCATACTATTCTTCTAGAGTAGGACATCAGCTCGGGTTGGTTTTCCAACCTTAATGGCTCATTGAATAGTATACTTTTTTATTCTATATTTTACAAAAGGAATCTGGGTATGTAACGAATTTTTTGGTTATTGTGTAATATTTATGTAACATCGAGGGATCAATCACGGAACGATCATGGAAATTTTATTAAATTCTTATGCACGATCGAGAAACGATCACGGAATGTCGCAGTTTAATCAGTGGAAGATAACAATTTATCGATTTATATGAGCAATTAGAATTGCGTGTAAGTTCGTATGAAAGCAAATGATATTTAATAACCTGTTAAAATTAGGTAATTTATTCGTAACAATTATAGAATATATGATGACTTGTATCTGAATGTGTAGTGGTCCCTGCTATAAAATAAAAGGCATATTTAGTTGTTTAAAATACTTTTCATTACTTCTAACAGACTTTTACTTATAATTCTAAAAATGTCTAAAGATTGGAACGATATCCGAACTCAGCTTCTAATTAATGAATGAAAAAATAGGAACGTGGAGTATCATGACCTTTGTAGGAGATATAGAAATAGATTTTGGGAAAGCATCGCCATCAAAATTAATGAACAACATGGATCAAACTTTAATGGGTATCACTGCAAAGAAAAATTTTTAACTCTTACCCGGGATTATAATGTAAATATGAGTCAGAGACTCTTATGCCTTGCATATATGAACTCATCCACTTTTATTTGTTTTTGGTGCTTTTGATCTGCACGGATTAACATCTGATAATTATTAAAAAAAATAGATGATGCGTTTATATTTGGCAGGAAATTGTGGAGGATGGAAAAGCTGAACTGGAGAGTGTTATTTTGAGGAATTCCAAACCCATTTTTGGAAAAAACCCAGTAAGTTGATTTATCTTTTGTGTAAAAGTATTGCTTCTTTTTTTAATAACTTTACAAATACATGTTATCTTTAGTATCTCAATTTGATCGAAGATGGCAAGAAATTAGACGAAGTTGTTCCCCACCACCATCTTATGAGGAAACAATATCGTCACTAAGTCAAGAGTCATCATTCTCTAGTCGAAGAAGCCAATCCACTTCTCCTGTAAGGTCATCTTTTTGTGAAGAAGATAATAATGGGCTTTCCGTTGTTCTTTGGGGTAGGGAGAATAGGAATAGTAGAGGCTAAATTTTTATGTAACGTGTCCATGCTACGTATAGCATTTAACTTTTGTACTTCGCTTGCCTATTTGAGGTAAAAAAAAATAAATTACCATATATATGCATCCGAGAATTTTTTGCGTGATTTTATTATTTAAATATAAAGATAAATTTGTTATTCTAAAAAATTGTGAAGGCATATGACTTAATGGTCACATGGGATGCAAAATCAAAACTATTCATAATTTGTTTGTGTCTTGATAAAAAAAATCGTGATAGATGTTTGATCAACATAATACATAAATAACGAAGTGTATATAAATTTGTAAATCGGGCTTAAATATATAGCATGTAAAATCATTACTATACCCCATATAGCCAAATGCGCCTCTCGATAGATTATTTTTACAATGCACAATAATCCCAAATATAGAAAATGTGCGATTGTTGGTCGTGTTCTATAATTGTAATGCCAAATTTAGTATTCATTTTAATTGTTTGTTAACAATTACTGAATTATCGTGTTAAATTATTATGATGTGCAATTGTTTGAACTATGTTAAATTATTATAATGACACACGATTGTTTTAAATTCAATACCAACTATACTATTATGCTATAGTTTTTAGTATAAATTCTCTAATAAATAAGACTGACTTTTGATATAGAGTTCGATTTACAGTACAGTCTTCCCCCTTTATAGTCACCCCCTATATAAGCACATCATATAAAAACCTCTTTATAAGCACATTTATTT